TTATCTTAACCCTTTAAAACCCAATATCCACTTACAAACTTTGAGAAATTCTCCAGACTTGTCTTAGTTGAGAGAATAGGATAAAAGATCAAAGAATTTTCCCTCAGGTGATCATGAAATTAATTCTGATAACCTTTCCCCTTGATCGGGACTTTGTATTGATATCATTAGAAGACAACTGATGTTGGTCACTAATTTCTTGCTCTTTCAGGAGAGTACACGAATGTTGTTCCCGTTGTGATGGGTGGCGCTGATCCTTCAGACTACAAACGAATGGCTATTCCGGGGTCTTATATCAATGTTGTGGACTTCAAGACTGTAAAACAACTAGCAGAATATCTTCAATATCTGGACAAAAACAATACAGCTTACAACGAGTATTTTAAGTGGCGGTTAAGATACAAAGTGAGTCCTTATCACTACCCGCTGTGTAACTTTTGCAGATCGCTCGCCTTAAAACCTGACCTCAGAGAAACGAAAATTTATCACGATCTTCGCAAATATTGGTTAGAAGAAGGAATGTGCAATCAACAGAACCAACGTATTAGAAGCATGTGGTAAGCCATGACTAAAGGCTCGGAAAGGTTGACACGGTTAAGTTCAGTTACCCTACACACGGACAACGGCGTGGTGTGTCATTTATAAGACCCTAAAAGATGAGCGGGAAAATTTCCCGTTGCATGGTGCGTGGAGCAACTGGTATACTAAAATCAGTTTAGCATTAATAAGAAAAAAAGTGCCGTAATAAGCGACTATCTGCTTACGTTACGGGCGTAGCCCTTGACTGGTGGAAAATTAAGTTGTGCTTGTTCATGGCTGGTATGAGCCACGATGGGAAATAAAGTAAATTGAAAGTTTTTTAAAGCGCACACGCTACCTTAAGGTACCGTGGAAGTCCCAACGGCTGGTACGCAGTAGAGTATGCGGGTATACTATCTACCTTTCATGGAGATCTCACTGATCTGAAGCCCAATTTTAGGAGAGGTTTCTAGAGGAATGTAAAATGTCAGCTTCGATGCACCGCTTACGAACAGACTTATGTCAAGATAATCTACCCATTATAGTCAGAACTTTAAAAACAAAGAAGGCGGTTTTTTTAGCGACGTGCGTCAATCGAAAGATGACCTTTTTCATTTATGAGCAGCGGTTTAGACCAAAATTTCTGAGCTACCGCGCTATCTGTGGTCCCTTTTTCTTTTGGTATCAGCACAGTCGACGTCAAATGTCAACGCTTAAAGGCGCGTTATGAAGAATAAGTCGGAAGAATTTAATGAGAATCTTGGGTATTGGTATTCTACTTCGCTATAACGCTAGCCTGCGAGCAAGCCTTCCTATTTGGGTGAGTGAAGCGAGTCTCGCGAGAACGCGCGAGCGAGCGGCGAAGCTTGCTCGCAGGCTACTATAACGCCTACTACAGTGATTTAATTTTTCACCCTCTTTTTTTAACCTGTTACCTTTCTATCTTTGCGGCTTAAAAGTGAGATTATACCAATATTTTGGTTTAATGTACCTTTTTGTTGTTTTGAACAGGTTATCACCTTCAATAAGGGAGTTTCTACTCTTTGTTTTAGGAAGAGCAGGTCATAATTGAAAACAATGATTAAATATTAAAATATGACAATCATTATTTTTAATATTGATCTCCTGTTCTACTTCAATGAACACAATAACGACCTCCTGCTCCTCCTTGCTAGCCACAAGAAATTTTTTACGATAATATAAGATTGAGGACTGAGCCTTTTTTGCTGCTATGACTTTCTTTCTTTCTTTGTACAACGCTTCTTATATTTACCAGATATAACCATCATTTGCAAACTATTTCTAAATGTTGGTAAACGTAATATTTTAGTTTCCATCCAGTGGGATGGCACAAAGCTAAACATCAACATCCCTGTCTTAGTGAACTTCTGCAGTGGGTTCAAGAAAAACAAAAACCATTATCTAGAGATCCTTTCAGACATGGCTCAGTATAGGTCTTAACATTTCGTACGACATATCGCTCGTTACATTCCACGTTAGCGCCGTGAGCCTTGAATTTAGCAGACATAAATTTCTGTTTCAATCCACCTTGGTTCGTCTTCCTAGCTCCTTTAGAACAAGGTTGTTATTCTCTGCCTGCACTCAGTGTAAAAGGAAAAGTTCGTGACACTTAATTAATTTCTTGTGTTTGTCACTCCTCATACCAAAATTAAACCGATCAAATAAATGGTTGTTCTTAATAAAGTTTCAGGATTACCACTTCCCAAAACTATTGCAATTTTTCGCTTAAAAATGACCCAAGTTGTTTTGAGCGGAAGTTGTCAATTCAACATCAAGTGATTTGCCTAACTTTTCAAACATTTCACCGGAACAAAAATTTAATTTTCTTCCCTTTCGTTCAAATCGCTTCAAAAATTGTTAATGTTCTCCTCCAATTTATTTGAAGAAATGATTAAGGACCTCAATTAAATCTTCTTCTGGCATGGTATCCAGGTCTGCATATAACCTGAGGATAATGCCTTAGGAAAGAGGTCTTCTTAACGATAATGACCGAGCGCGTGGCTCGAGGTCAGTTATCATTTTTAAGAGGGCCAAGGAGCGATACATCGTCCTATTTAGTGCACGTTTCCATGTTTACGACACAGCAGGTCATTCATTGTATCCTGTTCCATTTCAGATTATTCATTAACCTCAAATACTTGTTCAAAACGATGGAAAGGAGCATTAAGCACCCCTAGCATCTCCAACACTAGATGTTTCATCAAAGGAGTGGCGCAAAACACAGAGTTGAGTTTGAAGATGAGGTTTAGCCCGAAAAACTGTCTCCGTAACTCACTGATAATTCTTATAGTGTTCGGAACGTTTAAGATTCGGTGGCGGCAAAGTGCAAAGCTGGAAGTCGCTGTGGAAGAACTTGATTCGATAACTCAACCTAATATTCAAAAGACTGAAGCGTATTCGGCAGTGCTTCATTCGACTCAACTACATTCTAGCCGACCTCCGCCTTCAGCTAAACTTCAATTAACGCAGATACCTTCAAGTCTGCCTGATTCAACTGCAACCCTGTTAGAGCAACCAAAATTTCTTATTCTTATTTACACTAGGTTCTGGCAAAAAGTAAAAGAGGTTGGCGAGTATCGAAGCGACTGCATTCTTGATCAAACCAGCAGAACTCAATGCCCATTAGATAGATTTGAAATGACCTACGACAAAGATCGGTTTTCGCAGAGCGACTTAGTGATATTTCGCGCGGCTGGCGGGAACATGCCAAGTGTAGATCATCTGAAGTCATTATCAAAGAACAGGCCTGCTAAACAGCGCTGGGTTTATCACACTATGGAAGGGCCACTGGCGACTCCTGATGCAGCACCGTTAAACGGATTGTTCAACGCAACTTGGACGTACCGAGGTGACTCCGATTTTTCAGCTGCCTATTCAGCGTATGTACCCCTCCTTCCTGAGGAGGCAGTAGATAAAAAGAAAACTATGATCGACTATGGTCAAGGAAAAACTAAACTTGTCGCATGGCTGGTGAGTAACTGTGGATCTCAACTACGTATGGCCTTCGTCCGCGAACTGATGAAGTACATCAACGTAGATGTATACGGAATCTGCTCCAGCGCATTTGGCCAGAGACTATCATGTTCAAAATCAGATGAAAAAGACTGCCTCAAACATTACAAATTCTACCTTTCGTTTGAAAATGCGCTGTGCAAGGATTACATCACTGAAAAGTACTGGGATCATTTAGGTAAATATTTGTTGTTGTTGTTTTTAATCAACTATTTGTACATATTTCATCCGACATAAAATTATTTTGGTAAAAAAGGTGACTAAGGCCAAACATCACTAATTGTTAGCGACAAAAACGAAAGGACTTCTTCAAGCGGATTCTGAGGATGCATCTTTTACAGCCTTATTCAACTTTAATCAGCGTTGTCTTTTTTATCAATACAAAATTTTTTCTTCCTTAACAATAGCTCGTAACTAAGCTGTCTTGTCCTAACGAAAATACCAATATCACGAAAGTTCAACTCGCGAATACAAATGAGGCGCAGTATTTAGATAACACATGGTAAGTAGGTTTAATTTGCTGATTAAATTCATTAGTCTGAGTAACCAGGTAAGGTGCTATCGAGTCTTGGAACAAAAATATTTGTTTTGAATAAAATTCGTAATTAATTTCGATGAAACAACGCAATTTCTGATTTTTTGGCAGTATATGAATAAAAAGGAATGTTGTTTGATATGTCACCATGTAAGGGTTTCATTTCCTACAATGCACTTATTTTCGCAACTGAATTAATTATACTAACGCGAAGACATTAAGCGTCTCTCATCTGTGTTTTCGCTTACTTTGCATGCACCTTATAAACTTTATAACTGCTTCGTTTAGTTAGTAACCACACTTCTTAAGGTCCCAACAGACCTTCACTATGCCAGAGGTATCTAGATTTTACCTATTGGTGTATGCGAAGTAGTTAGAAGCGGACACTAAAACGTACTTTAAACTTTCTTTATCTAATTGTTTGGACAACCACAGGTAGCCCAAGCTCGAAATATGAGCATCGGCATTGTTGCGTAACATTCGAAATATAAGGATTTGTATGGGGAAAAAAACCTATCTAACTGACTCGGATATATAACTGAAAACTCTTAGAAAAACTTGAGGCCAAGGGCAGGGTAAATATCTGTTTGTTAAACGCGGTTTTTTTTGTAATTGGTTACGCTGTAACAGCAATTATTTCAAACAGAAATTTCTCGAAAACGCTCGCATAAAAATTGCTTAAAATCGGTACAACTCAAGACAGTTATGTGAGCTTCACGTCCCATCATAAGCAGCTTCAAAAACAAATGTCTATATTTCTCATAATTTCAGGAAACCTAAAAATGTCAATAGCGTCGCCGCGTTGCCATAGATACGTCGATCGGTTACCTGCTTTGCTTGGGGCATTTTTACATTTTTGTTAATAGGTGTTATCAATGTTAAAACGGCTCGAGCTACCTTAATTATTGACATCCAACTACCTGTTCCAGAGTCTGGTTATTTTTGAGAGCGAAAGGTTATGCAGATAATTATTCAGCAATATCAAATGTCTTATTAACGTATTTCAGTACTCCTGTGAGGTAACAGGACGTAGGTTGTATTACAGTCAAACCCCACTTCACGGACATCCCGTTATTACGGACAGTTTGCTTTGTCCTCGTTGAAAGAAAGCCCTTACATTTTCTCTAAATTCAATCCTCTTAATATGGACACTTTCTATGGTATTAACGGAGTTTGACTGTATTTTGCAAGTGCAGAGAAAAATGCGAAAATCTACAATTTTTTTCGTAGTGTATGTCTCTGAAGGGAAATAGAAATAACCCAGCAGGGCGTTGTTAAAGCGGCAGCTTTATTACTTATCTTAACCCTTTAAATCCCAATATCCAGATACAAACTGAGAAATTCTGCAAACTTGTCTTAGTTGAGAAAATAGGATAAAAGATCAAAGAATTTTCCCTTAGGTGATCATGAAATTAATTCTGATAACCTTTAACCTTGATCGGGACTTTGATATCATTGTAAGACAACTCGTGTTGGTCACTAATTTCTTGCTCTTTCAGGAGAGTACACGAATGTTGTTCCCGTTGTGATGGGTGGCGCTGATCCCTCAGACTACAAACGAATGGCTATTCCGGGGTCTTATATCAATGTTGTGGACTTCAAGACTGTAAAACAACTAGCAGAATATCTTCAATATCTGGACAAAAACATCACAGCTTACAACGAGTATTTTAAGTGGCGGTTAAAATACAAAAGAAGTCCTTATCACTACCCTTTGTGTAACTTTTGCAGATCACTCGCCTTAAAACCTGACCTTAGAGAAACGAAAATTTATCACGATCTTCGCAAATATTGGTTAGACGAAGGAATGTGTCATCAACAGTACCAACGTATTAGAAACATGTGGTAAGCCATGACTAAAGGCTCGGAAAGGCTGGCACGGTTATGTGCAGTTACCCCTCACACGGACAACGTGGTACGTCATCTATGAGACCCTAATAGATGAACGGGAAAATTTCCGTTTGCAGCGTGGCACTCATGATCAGAGCAACTGGTATCTTAAAATCAGTTTAGTATTTATAAAGCAAAAGTGCCATAATAAGCGACTATCTGCTTAAGTTACGGGCGTAGCCTTTGATCGGTGGAAAGATAAGTTTTGGTTCTTGATGGCGGGTATGGGCCACAAAAGGGAAAAAAATTAAATTGAAAGTTTTTAAAATGCACACGGTACATTAACCCTTTTCGGACGGCTATAGGATCGTATACGTCCCATATGGAACGATGTATACATTCCCCCCTGGACCCATTTAGCTTTCAGTTTAAGTTAATAAATAGGTAAGCAACAACGTCAGCAAAGATAGATCTTTCCAGCGATACCTCGTTTTGGATATTCTGACCAATCGTGACAGAGTTACACTCACAAAAAAGGTAATATTTTGGGGAAAAATCCGCTGCCACTTTCGCTGTTTGCATGCTTCTCTTTGAAAATTAAATTTGTTCCTTTTCTCAAAAGATAGCCAGCCACAATTCGATGCAAAACAAAGACGATAAAGTGGGCAACAAAACCGCCAATAAAGAAGGAAAAGAAAGAGAAAAAGAGAGGCGGAGAGAAAGATCGAAATAGATTTGCACTGAAAAAAAAAAGAAAACTTTTGCGCATGTGTGACAAACAAAAAAACTGTTTTTACATCAAATTACTCGGAAAATATGCCATACTTCTTGCAGTACTCACTTTCAGTCAAACTTACGCTAATTAGCGGAAAACTAGTCCAAAGAAGAGAAATTGGTGAAAAATGCGGTTTTTTCGCTACTCGCCGGCCGTCACCAAAAGGTTAAGGTACTGGAAGTCACAACGGCCGGTAGGCAGTAGTCGAGCGCGGGTAAGCTATCGACCTTCCATGGAGATCTCATCTGAAGCTCAATTCTATTAGAGGTTTCGGAAGGAATACAAAATGCATTTTACTAGAGGTTTCCGGAGGAATACAAACGATGCACCTCTGCGAACAAAGCTCTCTGCTAAAAAACCGCCTTCCTTGTGAGTTTTTTTTTAGCGACGCACCTCAACCGGAAGATGACCTTTTGCATCTACGAGGAGCGGTTTAGACCAAAATTTCTGAGCTACCGCGCCTTCTTTTGTCCCTTTTCTTTTGGTATCAGCACAGTCGACGTCAAATGTTAACGCTTAAAGGCGTGTTATGAAGAATAAGTCGAAAGAATTTAATGAGAATCTTAGGTATTGGTATTCTACTTCGCTACAACGCTAGCCTGCTAGCAAGCCCTCCTATTTGGGTGAGTGAAGCGAGTCTCGCGAGAACGCGCGAGCGAGCGGCGAAGATTGCTCGCAGGCTACTATAACGCCTACTACAGTTAAGCGGTGATTTAATATTTCACCCTCTTTTTTTAACCTGTTATCTTTCTGTCTTTGCGGTTTAAAATTGAGATTATACCAATATTTTGGTTTAATGCACCTTATAATCCGTGTTGTTTTGAACAGGTTATCACTTCCAATAACGGAGTTTCTACTCTTTGTTTTAGAAAAAGCAGGTCATTATTGAAAATAACGATTAAATATTAAAACATGACAATCATTAGTTTTAATATCGATCTCCTGTTCTACTTGAATGAACACAATAATGACCTCCTGCTCCTCTTTGCTGGCCACAAGAAATTTTTTACGACAATATAAGATTGAGGACTGAGCCTTTTTTGTTGCTATAACTTTCTTTCTTTCTTTGTACAACGCTTCTTGTATTTACCAGATATAACCAGCATTTGCAAACTATTTCTAAATAATTGTAAACGTAATTTTTTAGTTTCCATCCAAAACATTCAAAGTAACGAGAGACAATCTTGGACAGAATAGAATGAAACAGCAAACCCAAATTCCCCCGAATCTCAAGGATGAAGCTGTGCGAAAGCCAAAACGCGCCATTTTTCCATCCTTGGTATGTGGGGGAACATAATAGGACAATCACATGACTTTTGTTGGGCATATAGTTCATTTGTGGCCCAAGTTTGCGCCCGAGCGGAGCAAGGGTGCAAATGATAACGAGGGACACAAACAAACTATATGCCCAACAAAAGCCATGTGATTATCATTATTATTAATACACAATGTTATTTCATAAGGAAAGATTGTTTAACATGAAATCATGTTGAGGGCTGCAAATCCCATTTACAGCCTACACTTTGCCGTTTGGTCCGCGTAAAGGAGCGTTTTAGAGAGGGCAGTTTGTCATTTGGCCGCGTGTAATCATAATAATACTATTTATCCTGTTTTATTTTCCTAACCCTTGAAGCCAATTATGAATGGAATAGTTCCAAACTGGTCTGTTATCCCTAAAGCGCTACTGATCGATTTGGTATTTGCACAGAACTGAGAAACACTTTTTGTGTTTTTAAAAGCCTAGCCTTGCACAGTCCTTAAAAACTGTTTTCCTGTTTGGTTTGTAACTTTGAAAGGCTTCTTTCTTATCGATGCCCAGTTAAAACTCCTAATTTATCCGTCGTCTACACGTTTTGAGGTAATCTCGAGCTCGCTGTTGTACACAAAGACTGATTGGTAAAATATTCTTTAAGAATATCAACTTTAGCGATCTTGCAATTGAGCTTGTTGTCACCCAGTGGGAAGGCACAAAGCTAAACATCAACATCCCTGTCTTAGTGAACTTCTGCAGTGGGTTCAAGAAAAACAAAAACGCATTATCTAGAGAACCTTTCAGACTTAGCACAATATAGGTCTTAACATTTCGTACGACACATCGCTAGTGACATTCCACGTTAGCGTGAGCCTTAAATTTAGCAGACATAATTTTCTGTTTCAATCCACGTTGGTTCGTTTTCCTAGCTCCTTTAAAACAAGTTATTATTCTCTGCCTGCACTCAGTGTAGAAGGATAAGTTTGTGACACTTAATTAATTTCTTGTGTTTGTCCCCCCTCATACCAAAATTAAACCGATCAAATAAATGGTTGTTCTTAATAAAGTTTCTGGATTACCACTTCCCAAAATTACTGCAATTTTTGGCTTTAAACTGACCCAAGTTGTTTTGAGCTGAAGTTTTTATTTCAACATCAAGTGATTTGCCTAACCTTTCAAACATTTCACCGGAGCAAAAATTTAATTTTTGTTCCCTTCCATTCAAATCGCTTCAAATATTGTTAATTAAATTTCTCGGGTACCGCCCTCTATGTTCTCCTCCAATTTATTTGAAGAATTGACTAAGGACCTCAATTAAATCTTCTTCTGACATGGTATCCAGGTCTGCATATAACCTGAGGATAATGCCTTAGGAAAGAGGTCTTCTTAACGATAATGACCGAGCGCGTAGCTCGAGGTCAGTTATAATTTTTAAGAGGGCCAAGGAGCGGTACATCGTCCTATTTAGTGCACCTTTCCATTGTTTACGACACAGCGGGTCATTCATTGTGTCCTGTTCCACTTCAGATTATTCATTAATCTCAAATACTTGTTCAAAACGATGGAAAGGAGCATTAAGCACCCCCAGCATCTCCAACACTAGATGTTTCATCAAAGGAGTGGCGCACCTTTCGGATGCAAGACACATAGTTGGGTTTGAATATGAGGTTTAGCCCGAAAAGATGTCTCCGTAACTCAGTGATAATTGTTATATTGTTTACAACGTTTAAGATTCAGTGGCGGCAAAGTGCAAGGCTGGAAGTCGCTGTGGAAGAACGTGATTCGACAACTCAACCTAATATCCAAAAGACTGAGGCGTATTCGGCAGTGCTTCATTCGACTCAACTACATTCAAGCCGACCTCCGCCTTCAACTAAACTTCAATCAACACAGATACCTTCCAGTCTGCCTGATTCAACTGCAACCCTGTTAGAGAAACCAAAATTTCTTATTCTTGTTTACACTAAGTTCTGGGGACAGGTAAAATGGGTTGGCGAGCATCGAGGCGACTGCATTCTTGATCAAACCAGCAGAACTCAATGCCCATTAGATAGAT